GCCGGCTTCGTTCGACATGTCACAGATACATGTTGTAACACATTTATCAAGTTAAAGTCAAAATCATTTATTTCAATTAGACGAGGAAGGCACTTTTGAACGTCAACAAAAAAAATAAAAGTGAAGCTATTAGCTCATTCCAAGGTGTAGATTCCTATGGAGAAGATCGAGCAAGAAACTCCATAGGTTACTCTTTTTTTTTCAATCAGGTTCACAATACAATTCTCTAGTTACATAGTTTTGCTGGATTGTGCGAGAACAATGTAACACTAAAATCCAGTCAAAGTGATCGAAAAAGAAAATAACCTTAAAGACAATAAATAATACAGTCTGTCCCCTAATGTATCCCTGGCTTGATTTACCAATACAATTTTAAAAAAATAATGTCAATAAGGAATATATTAGGAAGGAAATAAGATACGACAAAAACATATTTATTTATTTATTTTATTTATTAACGCTTCATGCACAAAGTGTACACAAGGTGGACTTAATGCCGCAGGCATTTTCTCCCAGTCTGACCTTTGGGTGATGCAGAGAAGAGTGAATGGTAGGAGCAAGAAGCAAGCAACGATTTAATTATATTAACATATTTGTGCAGCCGTTCAGTAGTTATGTACTTACATATATTTCGGGGATTCGGTTTTGTCTTTATACATACATATAAATTACCTTTGGAGGTGCACACTTATGTATTATCCAAGTTGGACCCAACATCGATCCCAGTGGTACACCCAAAGTTAGGGGTCATGTTGGACCTGATATATATTTTTTCTTTTTAGTTTATCGAACTAAGCACGATTGCTAAGTAAATTTGACTACAGATATGCTACAGCTCGCCCCCCGATCAGAACCAGACCCGAGCGTACGGCGCGTCGCGTCCGCGCGCGTCTCAAAGAGCCATCAGACCACCACAGGTGGGGCCCAATAGGGCCGATACCGATACAGAGCCGCGGAGGACTTAACGGGTTACAGGGGCTCCGGCTCGAAGAGGAGGAGTAGGAACGGGGTGGTTTTTAGTCAGTAAGAGTCTGACATTCATTCAATCATTTTCCCCCCTTAAAAAAGCCTTTATGCCAGGTGGTGGAAATAAATGACGCAAAGTTAGACTGGTAATACAAATTATATATTTATAAAAAATTCGATCAGCGCTGCCCATGGACACCCGCAACACCAGGGGAGTCACAGGTGCGTTGCCGATCTTTTAAAAACGAATACGCTCTTTTCTTGAAGGTTTGAAGGTCGTATCGGTTCGGCTGTTATAGGCTGCTGATGTGATGTCATCTATCACTGACTTGCCATTTCCTTTATTACCAGTTTGGTTTCCCTTGCTTATATTAAAACTTTCGTGTGGCATACTAATTAATTATTATGTTTTCGCCTCGGCTTACTCCCGTAACTGTTTCCCGGAACTCGACTAGTTTCAAGCCATGCTAGAGGCTCATATTCTTGAGCAGTATTCCGTAACCCGCGACGCGGCGTGGCTGCTTTAGTCAGTTGCGATGTGTCCCCAACGCGCCCTCTGCCGTAATTCACGCGCACTTTTCTTCGTCTGTAGCAACGACACCGCTGGCACATTAGACTCGTTCGACGGTGGTCGACGCAATGCTCATGAATATCCTCTGTTATATAAGTTATAAGTCCTCTGTTGGCTGTTACAGTAGCATTCAGAGTACGGAATATAAAGCTAAACTCAATACCATTTACTTCATTCAATATCTACGCAATACGGATGCTATTATACATACTAAGAAGATGCATTAGACATACTAAATAAATTATTATGTTTTTGGCTTACTCACGTAGTAATTTGACGTCAAATCGCGAAATGCTGCTCATGAATATGAGCCTCTAGCATGGCTTGAAACTAGTCGAGTTCCTCGTCAAATAATTACGTGAGTAAGCCTAATTAAGTGGTATTCCCTTATTATTTTTGTTTTTAGTCGGAGGAGTCGTTTCATAGGTATAGTAGAAGCCGGCATAGTTTAGTATTTAGTGTTAAGATCTTCTTCGGTTATCCGTGAATATTTTGTTGTCACAGGAACTTTGGAAACTGGTACTGTATCCCTTTCTGTTTTTACGATAAGACTGACTTTAGTCATTCGTTATTGGACTTTGGGTTTTGCTGGAGATGTCTTAATTCTTAATCTATATTGGCATAGGATTTGGAGTACGTTTAGGAATTTCAAGTCGTTTACAAAATCCACGTTAGGATGTTGGTGGTCTCAAAGAGGTTAAACGTCTGATGATAATTTCTTTGACGATACTTTCCGGTAACCAATGACTGGGCATTTCGGCTTCAACGGGATTAGCAATGAAAAGCAAGGGGTCACTTTTGTGATCAGGCCATTCTCTGGTTCCCACGAGGTCCACTGCCATTAACATGCAGCAAACAGTAATTACTTTAGCAGACGGTGTCACTGAAACAGAAATGTTTATTTCAACTGGTTACTTGTGTTCGTTCTTGAGTCCATTCTTTTTTTTAAGTAGAGAAAACCATCCAATGTTTCCTCCCGCCTTAGAATGACGCAAGCTCACTATCCGAGGTTCTCCGGATAGTGAACAAGGGTAGCTCATTTCAAGTTCTCCCCTTACCGCAAAGAGCTATCAGACCATCACAGATGCCCAGTAGGGCTGATACCCGATGCGGAGTTGCGGATGGCCTAATGGGTTACGGGGGGCTCCGGCTCAAAGCAGTAGTAGTAACGGGGTGGTGTTTAGTCAGTAAGAGTCTGACACTGCCGCTCGCTGATATTCCCACCCTAAATAAAAAAAAATGGTCGTGGTGGTCCGGAGGTTGAAGACGCCTGCTTCTCGTGCAGGTGCAGGTTCGAAACCTACCAACGGGAGGTACCAATACGACTTTTTTCGAGTTATATGTACTTTCAAAGATTATTTAGATTAGACACCACTGACCAACGGTGAAGGAAAACATCGTGAGGAAACCTGGGCTTATAATTTCTAATTATAAGTTTGAAATCGCCAACCCGCTTTGAGCAAGCGTGGTGATTGACGCTCTAACCTTCTCCATGTGAGAAGAGACTCTCAGCAGTGCGCGTTTATAAGCTGTTGATGAAATATAAAAATAGGATGAGGCGAGTTACTACTGCTTGGAGCTGGAGCCCAGGTACCCTGTTAAGTTATCCGCAGCTTCGGCTGAATTCAGTCTCCGGCTCCAGTTAGTCTAACAGAATGATATCCTACGACTTGTGCTTGTCGCTTCACAGTTGTGGTTTCTTAATCAAATCGATATGTATTCAACATACATTCATAACTTTACGTCAGTCTCCCGTGGGAGTAGTGACTATGGAACGCCATTTGCTACGATTCCTACATACCTCTTTCGCTTCGCCTCGCTCCCGCCTGGGTGAGGCGGAAGGGAGTGTCAGACTCTTACTGACTAAAAACCACCCCGTTCCTTCTCCTGCACGTCGAGCCGGAGCCCCGGTTACCCGTTAGGTTCTCCGCGACTCATGTAGGAATAGGGTAGATGCTTAATTTGTATTTTAATGTCCGTCTGGTAGATTATTTTAAAACATTACACTCGTATTTTTTATTTTCTTACAGAAACTAAAACTTTCGACGATATATTGATTTGAAATGTCGCGTGACGTCATTTCTATGTACATACATTTTATACGTAGAAATGACGTTTTAGCCCCCACTCCTAAACTTTGACTCGTTTTATCTAAGTATTGTATTAAACAAAAAAAAATACGTGTCCAATATTTTTTATTACCTATCTTACGGACTAATTAGATTTTATATTTTTATACCCTGTCATCATCCCAATTGTAGCAATTGGCGTTCCGTGTTTATTCATTTATTCAATGTTATGAATAATCATTTACTCAATGTTTCATTTTATTTGCGTCATGAGCAGGTTTCTGTCTCTGGAGCCCTAACCACCAGCAGCTTGGACCATGCTCCCTACTGGTCGGCTCCTATTTTTAAATTAATTTTTTTCTTTGTTTTTTTTTAACATATAACTCACGCCTTTTATCCCCGAAGGGGTAGTGAGAGGTCCACATTATGCCACTGTACAATGTAACACCCACTTTTCACTATTTATGTTATGAGTCTCATGCAATAGGGGGTGAGCCTATTGCCATATGTGCCGGGCACAATTCCAGACTCCGTGCTACTACTGAGAATTTTTTTAAATCCCAGTAATACTTTGCCCGACCCGGGAATCGAACCCGAGACCCCTTGCCCGGCAGTCGCACTTGCGACCACTCGGCCAACGAGGCAGTTTTTTTTAAGTAGTATTTAAATGTAACTTTAGAGAATTTTAAATGAATGAATGTATTCAATGTTGCATTATTATTTACGCGTATATACATAGGTGTGTACATTAATAAAAACTTATATTAGTTACAAGTATATTTTACTTACTTTTATTTATCATTTCTCGTCCGTTTGTGTGATCGACACGGAGGAAATTAAATGTGTTTATTATACACTCCACAAATTCTACATGTACCTAATGTTTAATGGAAAAGTTAATTGCTTATGTTGTAGACATGAGGCGGCGTGTCCAGCCAATTTCAAACAAATGAACTGAGTCAGCGTTGAATGTAATATTTTACTAATTTATACGTTTTTTTTAAGTCAGTTTTTTAAACACAGTCTTTTATATTTCTTTTTTCTGTTTTTTTAAGGAGGGACAATCATCGAATGACTGCTCCCGCCTGAGTGTGGCGGGAGGGAGTGTCAGACTCTTACTGACTAAAATCCACCCCGTACCTACTCCTGCCCTTCGAGCCGGAGCCCCGGTAACCCGTTAGGTTCTCCGCGACTCCGTATCGGCATCGGCCTATTGGGCCCCATGCGTGGTGGTCTGATGGCTTTTTGAACCGAGGTGAAACAACGCTTGCATCGTGTTTCGTTGTGTGAGTGAGGTTATTGGAGGCCCAATTACCCCCTCCCTTTCCCCAATCCTTGAATCCGATATATCCTCAAATTCCTAATCCCAAAAGGCCGGTAACGCACTTGTAACGCCTCTGGTGTTCCAGGTGTCCATGGGCGACGCCGATTGCTTACCATCAGGTGATCCGTTCTTCGAACGTGTTTTTTTCCACATTAAAGATTAAATAAGTCAATAAAATTAACACGTCCGATGTCACGGGCAAAAGTAGTAATGATTACGTAATTTATTGATTAAAATATAGGGTCATGCATATTAATCGGGTGATTAATCATATTAGTTCCATTTATTATGCGATTTATAATTTATCTTAGTGTAAAAGGAAATAAACACGGAAGTTTTATGTTTAGAAAAATAGTTGCAAGGACTTTTTTATATTATTAGCAAGGATTTTGTTTTAGATTTACAGATTTAAGTAGGTATTTATTTTATTGGGTTGTTTGTCTTCAAATGTAAAATATTATCCAATGCATTTTACTATGTATATCATTTGCATGCTTAAATGGTAAAATATGGCTGAACATGTATTTTTATGTCACCTGTAATTGTTACCCATATTTGCAAAATAAATGTATCTTTATCTTTGTAAAGAGTACAAAATTTTTGGTAAGTAAATGTTATGCTATAAATGCAATATGGAGTTTCTTGCTCGTTCTTCTCCATATGAATCTACACATTGGAATGAGCAACTAGCTTCACTTCTAAATTTTTATTGTTGATGTTCTAAAGTGCCACTGGTCTAATTTAAATAAATGATTTTGACTTGACTTGAATAAAATTAACAGGTGTTTTTGCATACATTGGAACGATTTCGCTTTTTTAGAAAGTTTTATAAAACAGAACCTGGAATTTTGGCCAATGTACCTACACCAACAAGTTTACACGCACTCTGTTAAGTTGAACTATTGAGAAATATGACTATTATAGTCGCTGTTGAAATGGTCAAAAGCACCCCTGTGACGATTAAAAAGATTGATGTTGTTACAAATTATTATAATAGGTAATCTATGACAAAAAATACACTAACTAAATATCTTACAGTAATATAGGAACTTTGTATAATAATGACATCTATGAGTTATCTCCAAAACTAATAACATAGAATGCCATCTATCTTAACAATTGTGAACTATGTTCAAAGAGCGTAACTCTAATAGTTCGTCTACTCACCGCTAGAAACCGCTGTACTCAAAAAACATTAAAAATTGAATTACAAATTTATTTCGCTGATCATTTTAAATGACATATTCTTAGACTTAGTAACTCAAGGGAATAATTTATATTTTTATAAAAACTGAATGTCACAGTATCAACCAGTGGAAAATGTCATAATAGTACTTTGAATTACACAATAGATGTCACTTAACAAACGCATGTCTTTACTTATTGCAATTCCTATTAGAATGGCTTCAATATCTAAGTAAAATCAGTATTTTTCTACAATAGTGATATTTAATTTTGACAAACTTTTCTTTGTATTAGCTCAACAGTCGGTACTTATAAAAAAAAAACATTTGAAAACTTCGTATCCGAACGTTAAAAAATCTCAGCTGCTTCTTATCAAGATGAAAAAAATATACCCAAATCTGGGGAGATTTTTATCTCAGTACTATAGTTTTGCCCGCAACTTTGCTCGTGGCATTTTTTTATCTATTTTGTTTACATTATAATGTACGTGTGTCTGTTTAATATTTTTAGTTAGCTTTCACAATCGCAATTGGCATTTGAACACATTTTAAATACCTAATATTGTAAATTAATGGTATTTCCTCAACTGTTTCCTTACTTCCTAGTTGTTATAATATAACAAAACATTGTCTTATTCACATAAAATTCATTCATAAAATGAATATCACTGACAGGTATAATAATAATACGAAGAGGAAAACCGTTTGTCGTCTATCTACCAAAGAATTAGTACTTTAGAATTAATTACTGTTTTTTTTTAATTTATATGTAATAAAACATAAGGCTCTTTATCATTTAGAGGTATAAACCACAACAAAGCATTACTCATAGACTGAATCATTTCCATTTATTGTAGAATTTAATAAAGTAGACAACTGTTACTATTCCAATTTATGAATGAGGAAAATAAAATAAGTTCGTAATACTAATGTATTAGGTATGTACTGTGACGCGGTAAAATTGTCCATTTCTGCAGATTAATAATTATGTACTTATTAATTTTATGATCAACAGTATAAATTAAAGAGGTCAGTAGTAATATTAATTTAAATTTACTTTTTAGGAGATTTGGTGTTACTAGTGGTTTAATATTAATTTAAGTTTAATTATCATTTTACAAATTCAGTTTTACTAACGGTGAGGTGTTGTGATCACTTTCTCAAAATGTAAACAGACCCAGGTAACGGGTAAATTCATTCTCAAGTCTGGCAATACCGCTAGTGCCATGCCGTGCCCTCGTCGGACGAACGACAACGGACCGGGACGACTGTTTATGTAAACTTTCTGTCAAGTGCATTGTGTTTGGAACTAGTTAACATCGCGTAAAATAACAATTGTCGTTCTACTTTCGCAATTAAAACTATTGTGTCGTGCAACTTCCTACTATAACGTGGAATTTTTAGATAACATAAACTACAATCAGTCCGTTATTACATCTGCCTGTGCAGCGAAGTGTTTTGAAAAAAAAAAACAACAAGACTGTTGTTTGATGTGATGTTTATTCGTTTTTCAAAATAACAAAATGGTTGATAAATATCTGCGTTAGCTGTGTCGTTTATTAAAGTAACTAAAATAGTTTGAATAAAATAATTGGTGCCAATAAAAATGTATTATGCCGTGTCGAAATGATATCTGCAAAGAACAGAGTGCAAGAAATCAAGAGTAAATTCGAGAATTTGAACAGCAGCGAGAACATACCTAACAAACGGGTTGATAATCAATTATTTCTGCATAAAAATGCTTTTACAAATAGTTACGGGAAGGAAAATAGTGAACATATCGAATATGAGCTATCGGACAAAGTTGGCATCGACAATGAATCAGAGAGCGACGATTGGACACCGAAACCCAACTCCAGCTATTTGTACAATAAAAACGAAGTGAAGCGGAGTATAAGTGACACGAAAAATTCGCTCTCTCGTCAGTCGAGTGATCCTGGCAAGAAATTACACAGGAGTCATGCTTTCCGCTGCGACAGAAGCCAGAAAATAGCCAACAGCCCGAAACGACACGGGAGTTGTAACGGTAGGTCTGAAACCAGTGATTTTTCATTCAAAATGGAACGTAAATTGAGTAAAGATAGACTTAAAAGGCTCGGGAACTTCTTAGAAGAGCAGATGAGGAAGGAGAACTATGTGCCACAGGTGCAATATGCTGAAATTGTTGGTGAGGTCAAAGATAGTGAGCAGTTTGACTCTATACCTGACTCTGAAGTCCCTCAGCATATCCTAGACCAGTATGCCATTGTTGTGAAGCCTAAGAGGCAGGAGCGGGAGAAGCAGGAAGCCATGACAGACAGTGGAGTGAGCTCAGAGACAGAAAATGTCGAAGAAGACAAGAATGGGAGAATAAAACGACTTCTATCTCAATTTGAGAAGTCTCCTGAGAAAACTCATCTAACAAATCTTCAGGCAATGGATGACTTATGTGATTCCAGTGAAACTATACGCTTGGAGCGTAAAAATCCCCATTTAAAACTAACAGACACACTGAAAAAGGCTTTAAAACAGCCTCTACCAGCGGGACCACCGCCAGCAAAGCCGCCCCGAGTCCTAAAACCTCAAAGTCCTCAACCAACACCAGAAGCAACTGAAGAACAGAAAAAAGAAGCAAAACGAATGCTGGAAAAGCTGGAACTGGTCTTACAAAAGCGAGAAGGGACAGTAGAAACTCCGAAAAAGCCAAAAGAAATTCACTACTTATGTACGGAGATATTAGACATTACGAACAGAACATTGCTACCAAATCAGACATCTGACCCAATCTCCCGTTGCCTAAATTCTCTCAACTGTGCCATAACCAACAACTCTACGTCTAGCCTCCCATATACTCGACTAAAGACTGACGATGACACTCGAAACCTGTGTTGTGCGTGTACCAGTGAGAATAAGGATCCGAAGTGGGCAAATAAGTGTCTACGGTGTTCCGATGAGGATACCAAGGATGGTCGGTTCAAATGCCATGTGAACTGTGTGTGTGATGTGAAAAGTTCCAAGTTTTATGTGGAAAATGAACATATATATGATGTGCCGTGCATGGATGAGGATGATCCGAAGCATACGTATGGTACAATCAATACGTTGAAGAGTTGTAAAAGTATGGAGGAGTTACGGACCAAGAAATCTGAGGTGAGTGGTAGAAAAATAGTTTTTTTTTCATATAGGGCTAAGGCTGCTCATAATGCAGTTTGCTAAAGCTGTTGACGACTTAGCGGGACCAAGTATTTACCTATGTATTGTTGTTTATTATTTAAGTCCCTTGTAGTGTTGTTTTTTGGTATACATTTTTAGCTACCTAGGCAAGTTTATGTTCTACTCGAAGCATCTTTCACAATTTCTGAAAGAATGTTATTTCTGTTCACTTTATTCGACTTAGGGCCGATTTCTACAACACCAGATAAATTTTATCAGAGGTTTAACTTTGAATATTTGACAATTCTGTGATCAATAATCATCAATCAGTCATTCAATCATCAGTTAATTCTTATTTGTTGAATACAATTGTCATTTGACAGTTTTTAGTACGGAAGATTTTCAAATATTCAAAGTTATTCTTCAGTTAAAATTTATCTGGCATTGGAAAATTGGACCCTATATATAGGCACTTAATTTTGGTTCATGAAATCATGAGACAACAGAATTAATCAGATAACTAACTATTGCAAAACATATTTACTAGTTACTTTGACTACTTACTTTTATCTTTATGTGGGCAAAACTTACTACAATAACTTAGGTAGTTATCTAACTATAATTACATATATCAAAAAAATCAACACCCTCATTTGTTATCTTAACTAGGATCCCATTCATGCCCTAATTAGGCGAAACAAGTGAATATATTTCTGCAAATAGGCTAAAAGGCAACACTTTTACACGTCAATTTTATCAAGCGAACGATGAGGCTGACATTTTCTAACTGACTACTCTGAGAA